TGGAGTCCAGCAGCAGCTTCGGCTCGGGGGTTGCGGAACAAGCGGATGGGCTTGGGATTTAAAACAGTTTAGGGTTTAGGGTTTAGGGTTAAGGGGTTTAGGGTTTATGGTTTAGGGTTTAGGGTTTAGGGGTCTAGGGTTTAGGGTTTAGGGTTTAGGATTTAGGGTTTAGGGTTTAGTGTCTGGTTTTGGGTCTACATATATGGGTAGTTGTCAAAATTATGGTCCCTTTTGGGGTACCCTAAATATTAGGTGCCGTATTATAATAAGGACCCAAAAAGGGACCATAATTTTGACAACCACCCATATAGTGTACTTGGGATTGTTGGCGTCGGCGTTCAGGCTCAGCATTTGGGGTTTTGGAGTTTGGATCATATCGGGTTTTGATTGGTTAGGGATAATGTAGGGGCCTTAAGTAAGAATTAGAATAGGATTTTGGGGGTCCTTATTATAAGTATAGTATACTATACGCCCAAACCCTATTCTAATTGTTCTGGCCCCAATATTAACGGTTTCAGGCTGAGCGTTCACGGTTTAACGAGTGTCAGACTTCAACCCAGTCCGTGAAAAATGTTTCTATGTTCGGATAGCCCAAGCCCAAGGCTCAAACCTTAAACTTAGCCCGGGGTTTAGGGTTTAGGGTTTAGGGGTTTAGGGTTTAGGGTTTGGAACTCAAGTAAATCTAGACCCATTGTCCCCAATACGCTCCTACTGCTTCGGGTCTATATCAAGGGTCCCCTTTTTCCGAAGACCCTCTTCCAAGTTGCAGAAGACAAAGGACCCTGCTGCAGAAGTTTCCGAGCTCTCTAGCTTTGAAACCCTAATTTTCAATAGAGGGGTTTAGGGTTTAGGGAGATTCCGAGGCAGCAGTCACACCAGAAACGTAAGGCCCTCGATCTTTCCGGAGGCTTCAATGTCCCTGTGTCCAGAATATCGTGTGGACGAGCCTGAGCAGCATCCCTTATTGACATATATGACATACGCAGATACATGCATGCATGTGTGCATGCATACATACACACACCTACACAGACACGCACATACATGTATCCATATATGTATATAATCAAGCACATGGAAGGCGACCAGCACCTTCTGCCAGAAGAAAGATCCCTCAACTATGACGGCATGATCCACAGGCGCGACTCCGGGCGAGGTTTACTGTAACTTATTGCAAAAGAGTGGTGTAGCGCATTGACGTATACTATCAGATAGTATCACATACTTCGTTCTAGTAATACAGAGCCTAGTGCATTATGAGAAAGTGTAAAGTCATAAGCGGCAGTACAGTATGTACAGTATAGGAGTTTGAAGAAGCAGTAGCTACGGCTGTTCTTAAAGGAATTCCAGCGCAGTGTGTGTAGTTTGATGTGCCTTGTGTTTCTCATATGTAGAGCTTATCCCCAAACCCTGCTCCCGCGATCCCAAACGCTACAGCCTAAACGTTTCGAATTTCCGTTGTTGACAGGATGCCAGGGCCTTGGTGGTGTAGGGGTGTCTCTCTCCTTTGCAAGGTTCAGGGTTTGTGATAGTCTCGGGTTCAGAATTCAGGGATGGGTAATGTGGGCTTAGTCTCAAGGCATGCTTACCATCCGAATGTCAATGTGTCCTCCGCATTTAACAACCAGACGCGAAGACACACTCTTCTGGTCCGCCGTTGCGCAGTAGTGGCTGCTGGCTTCCGTGTAGTTCTATCGTTTGACCAATGGTGACTATCTCGTTGGTGGCTGCTAGGCTG